CGCTCGCGCCCAGCCGGGGCAGGGCGGGGGAGCTGCAGAAGCGCCCCGTGCGGTGCGGTGCGGTGCGGTGCGGTGGTTTTTGAAACCTATTTGGTATCATATCACGTATGTGCAGCGCCACGGCATAGACCGGCGAGGGATTTACGTGTTTAGCAACCACTGCTGTACCTGGCTGAAAGACTGACTAACTATTGATCTTTAGGCTACGAACGCGGCGTTTTACCACTTCTTGGATGCTGTTGCTTTTCACGGGTTGTAATGGATTTAGACAGAAGCAAAATGAACGAACACCCGAAAAAGAGGAAAAGAAAGACTTTGCACCCGTCACGGTACTCAGGTCAGTCTGGAGCTTGAACTGCGTTCAGGTTTCAGTGCATGGGGCTCGTCTTCAGAAATAGACCGCTGCTTTCTGGAAAATGAACGGATGAGTCTTGTGAAAGTCTTACGAGCTCAGAGGCGTGTTAACATGCCTCCGTCTGAACTTACAGTCTCCGCTCTCGTACCCTGGTGTTGAGCAGGGGTGGACAAAATGCGGCCCGTGGGGCCTCTAAATAATTTGGAAAATTAATATGAATCTGCCCTTGGCTGCCTGTCGTGTGGCCCTCGATGGCTTTCCGAAACTCAGTAAGCGGCCCTTTGGTGTTGAGCCATTTGAGGCCACTGGCATATCTAAAGGCTGATTGCTGTTCCCTGCTCGCTTTAAGCAACTTGTCCCATGCCACAATCTTGATTTCCCCATCTGTACAAAGGCACATAGAGAGATTGCAGTTCAGCATCTACTGTGCTCAATAGTTTCCTTCCTACTGCCTTCAGTGGTTGTTGGACTAACACTGAGTGTGTTTGAAAACTCTCCCTTTAATATCAGGGCAGCTGTTTGAAGATGGAAACCATGATTTCAATGCCATCTATTTCAAAATCATGGGCCATCCAGTCTTTAACAGGTGCTGATAATTCCCATGAGACAACTGTGACCACAGAGGTAGCCTTTGTATTGTTTTAAAAGTATGTATGTTGGTAGTTCAGCTGGTTGATCTGAATACTTTTTGCTTTTTCTGTCTAGATTCTTCAGGTGTAAATAAATACATAGACAACAGTGGGATTTTTTCTGATCACTGTTACAGTGTCTGTTCTATGAAGCAGCCAGACATAAAATTTTCTGAAAACAGAGGTAAGATTACAGTGTTAACACTTAACGTAAGACTATCAAAACTCTGCCCGGGAAAGGAGTGATGCAATGCAGTTCATGTGTTAGCCCATCGATGTGTGCATTTAACAGTCTGCAAGGTTATTAAGTCATTTTAATATAAAACACAAAAATGGTAGAGGGCCCAAGAGTTCACAAAATTTACAACAGCAGACATCAGCATTTTAAAATGTTGGTTAAATAGTATCAAAATGATGCAAACAAGTCAAGGATTCAGATCAAACAGGGTGCTTTGTCAGATGCTTCCTTAAATTGTTTTATTTAGACTTCCAGAGAACAAAAAGCTTTTTTTAATGGGAGTGTACTGCTAAACGTAATCCTTGAAGCATGGGAGAGCACGAATGTGAAAAGTTTTACTACATGTTTTTCTCTTAATAAGATTAACTGTGAAACTCCACAAGTTTAATTGGAACATTCTAATTAAGGAATTGATAAAGGGGGGAGGATCGTACATTTGGAAACTTACGGAATATCTGTTCTACTTCAAAATTAGAAAAGCTAAAGTTTCCTCTAAGGACTTTTTTTAGAGATATTTCAACGTAGCCAGCTGGTCTGCTATTAATATTTGTTTCTAAATTGAGGGAAACCTTTTGAATCTGTTGGTTGACTTCAGTTTGGCTTTATTTCCAGAGAATCATTGTATTGTGGTTGTCTCTGGTATAGGTTTTCATCCATAATTCATATACAAAGAAGAGGATTATGGAATTGTAGAATAAATAACTAGAAGCTCAGTTAAGAGAGATTTAGTGGAAGCATGTATAGAAAAAAACAGTGTGGTTTATATCAGAAGACAGGGAAACCACAATCATATATGGGAACCAGCTGCTTTTAGGATTTTTTTTTAACTTGGATAACAGAATTTGCCCTATTAAAGGATTATTAACTTTTCGTTTTTATGGGGAGCCTAGGTCTGCTGCTATTATTAAGTGGCAAAAACTTGTGCCACCTTTATTTTGAAGGTTAACAGCTATGAAACAAATACAGGTTATACATCATTGGCAAGAAAATTGACTGATTTTCTTTTTTTTAATTGTATTGATCAATTAAAATACTTCATTTTCAAACCTAGAGAATAATGCTCTGTTTTATTACTGGATATTATTAGCAGTGGGCACACTTGTATTCAGTTTTGAATACTGAAGACTGATCTTTTCCTGAGGGCTAGCAAAGAAATATCATATGACTTGGGATCAGGATTCAGACAGAGCTAATTGCTGCTGCCCTCTCCTAAGCACATGGGAGCAAGTTTACAGGGACTGCTAGGTTGTAGAACAGCGTGCTCAGTCTTGGCTTGAGCAGCCTCACGTCATGATGAAGCACCACATACTAGGCCTCCTGTCATTAAGTAAATGAAGTCTGTTTTGGTTGTGTAACCAATGTGACTCTAGTTATTTTAAAGACATGTTGGTAGGGAAGTTGAAGTTGAATACTGAAAAGAACTTACTATATCCTCATAGGAAGATACCATGGTCCAGCACAGAACCATGATACGGATGATGATGGCAGCCCAGTACATGCTGGGACATCGCAGTGGAGCGGGACCCAGTCAAATATCATGGGGTTGCATTTTATAGATTCAAGGAAGAAAGGTAAATATAAAAGTGCATTTACAAAAACTCTGCATGTCGTGGGCATTGGAAAGCTTATTGGAAAGCTGGGGGTGTATTTGGCTTTCAATGCAACTAGCTTTTTTTGTTTCTGCAATGATTGCAATAATAGAAGTGTTGAACCTATAGACAGATAAACTGAGGTACATCTTAATAGTGTTTAATTTATCTGATATCCCTATTAAACTTTCAGGGCTAGAGGAAAATAATACTTTATTTGTATTTGTGAATTGCTACAAAGGGCTGAAAACCAATGGACCAACCCAGCAATAGCTCATGGTCTTTTTAATCTGTAAATTGTTTCTTCTCTTCTTGTAGAAAAAGCTGCTAATGGAATCTGTAAAGATATGTGCGAGTCTCCTATATTCAGTGACAGCCCAACTGAAGAGGAGAAACCCCTTGATATTCAAACAGTAGAAATTTCTACTACAGAAGTTAATGCCATAGAAGTTCATGATATAGAAACACAAACCATTTCACCTGAAAAGCTAGAAGCCGAAGACATTGAGGAAATACCTGTTGAAAGCTGCAAACTGTTTGAGAAGAACCAGGCTTTGAATATCACTGCTCAACAGAAGTGGCCTTTATTACGAGCCAACAGCAGTGGCCTGTACAAGTGTGAGCTGTGTGAGTTTAACAGCAAGTATTTTTCTGATTTAAAACAGCATATGATTCTGAAACACAAGACATGCACAGACACAAATGTTTGTAGAGTATGTAAAGAGAGTTTCTCTAGCAAAGTGCTGCTGATTGAGCATGTCAAAATACATGAGGAAGACCCCTACATATGTAAATACTGTGACTACAAAACAGTGATATTTGAGAACCTCAGTCAGCACATAGCAGATACGCATTTCAATGATCACCTTTATTGGTGCGAGCAGTGTGACGTGCAATTCTCTTCAAGCAGCGAGCTGTATCTGCACTTCCAGGAACACAGCTGTGATGAACAGTATCTGTGTCAGTTTTGTGAACATGAAACCAATGATCCAGAAGACTTGCACAGCCATGTGGTAAATGAGCATGCATGTAGGTTAATTGAGCTAAGTGATAACTATAACAACAAGGAGCGTGGACAGTACAGCCTCATAAACAAAATTAGCTTTGATAAGTGCAAAAACTTTTTTGTATGCCAAGTATGTGGTTTTAGGAGTAGGCTGCATACAAATGTCAACAGGCATGTAGCTATTGAACACACCAAAATATACCCCCATGTTTGTGATGAATGTGGAAAAGGCTTTTCAGGTATGTTGGAGTACTGCAAGCATTTAAATTCTCATCTATCTGAAGGGATTTATTTGTGTCAGTACTGTGAATATTCGACGGGGCAGATCGAAGACCTTAAAACTCATTTAGATTTTAGGCATTCGGCAGACTTGCCTCACAAATGCACCGATTGCTTAATGAGGTTTGGAAATGAAAAAGATCTTCTAAGTCACCTTCAGATACATGAGACATCTTGATGGTTTTATTTTGCATTGTTATCAACTTATTAGAATTAATGTACTTTCCAGTGGGTCATTATAATGTGATATTAAATACAGTTTTCATAGAGATTCCACAGTGGCTAATTTTTAATTACTCGTATACTTGATGTTGGGAATTTTAGATTGGCAGTAAATAACCATAAGTATAATGTGATTGTTCAGTCATTAGCAGAGCAATTTAAAGGGCCCTCCTATCTGATAACATTCAATAGCACTTGTATTTGACATGAAGGGGAAGATGGTTTTGTCTAGGTCAGAAAAATGGGTGAGAAAACTAACTTCTACTTTTACACTTTTAAACGTCTTTAATATTATTGTTTAGCAAACAGGGCTGTGTGTTTTCAACTGGAAACCCCAGTTTACTTTATGGCAGCCAGGTGAGTACGTTCATCTTCAGCAAATTGCACTGACTGCTGGAGACAACCATGCTCCAAAAATGGCATTTTGGCAGATACTCCTAGCAATCCTTTGCACCAGTCTACAATTCCATATTACTCCTGCCAAGTCCTCCCACTCCCTACACTATAAGTCCCTAAACTTGACCTGTCTTGCATGTTGTGCTACCCCTACTCTGTTAGCACCCCCATCCAACTGTTCAGTCCCAACTGAACTTATTGAACAGTGCAACTGTTCGATAGCCATCTCAGTCCCCTGACAAATGTCACAATTTCCTGCCATCTGCTACAGGCCTCCAAATTTTTTAATGCATCTTTTTATTATTTTCTATAGTTTCCTTTTCTTTGAGATGCACCTATTGACAGGTGTCACCTATGTGGAGGTGTGATGATGGAAGTAGCTTTAGGGATCCAGTTAACAATGTACCCAGAGGTGTAATCTTTGTAGGTACAAGGGGCCTAATTCAGCTGTCAGTGAAATGGGGTATGTCCCTGACCTCATTAAGAGTAAGACTGAGCCATAATTACCGTTATGGTTAGCATTACATGACTAAGAGCTAAGGTAATTTGCCTTATTCTCATCCCATGAATTCTAAACTTTCTCTCCCGTGTGCATGTCCAAGTGTCTAGTGCGGTGTATAATAAATTAAAATAATTGTAATCCTTTTCCAGACTTTTCACCCACCTGTTCAGATTGGAAACTGCCAATGTCATGCTATCCTCTTTAAAAAGGAGTATGTATTCGTAAGGTGCTGTTTCTTTGCCAGGTTTCTGGCTGATCAACATTTAGACCTGAAATAAGAGGTGTTTAGATTCTGATAGCTATAAAGGTGAAATAGCCAGTAAGTAAGTAGGAGTTTACATTTGTCTGTATTGACTGTAAAGTTGTAATGTATGAAATTGTCCAATATAAGCTTTGTATAAACATAATTCATGTGCAAGTATTTCTGTGGAGCTATGAGAATGAGATCTGTGTTAATAGCTCAGCACAAAATTTTCAAGTTCTGTGTACTGAATTCATAAAGCTAAAGATAAAATTTAGTCCTGTACAGCCTGCGGAAATCCTTTTTTGCCTCAAATCCTTTTCATTCTGGAAACAGAAGCTATTTTGAGCTGGGTAGCATATGCTATTCTTAATAATAAACAACCTACCAGCTAGCCTTGCAGAAGGTATATTTGCTCATCTTTCCACCTTACACACTCTACATTCAAAGGTTATTAAAATGATTTTGATTCCTGTTACCCAGAAAATCCTCTTTTACATTTATAATGGGATTACTGTAAATCATTATTATACCACAATGATTTTTTTCTCATGAATTATCTGGTGTCACCATCCTGGCTGGCCTGGTAGTGGTAGCATAAAGAGAATATAAGAATTTGGGTTCTGTTCACATTTGGGAAATTAATGCATGCTTGCAGATTGAGTTGGAAAGAGAGGAAGGGTACATGTCAGTTATTACTAGTACTACCTCCTTTTACAGCTAGGTACACTGATGAGTTCTGGAGAGGAGTTGGATATAGGAGGAAAATTAGGGTGGGAAACTGGCTTGCTGGTGGTGAGGGAGAATAGGCATGTTTGTACTGTGATTTATCATGCCTTATTTAAGAGAGGGGGTTTAGTAGTGGATAGAGTACTGAAATGGGACACAGAAACTCTAGGTTCAAATCCTGGCTCCTGGGTGGTTTTCCTAGATGCTTTGGGGCAAGTTCTGGAGTTGCTTTTTATGTACAAGATCCTAACCTGTAAAATGGAGACAAAATATACCTATTTACTGTGAAACATTTCAGTATCACAGTGATGAGGTACTACATAAGATAATCGCTTCCAAGATTTTGTTAGTTGTAACTATACGCAAGAGAATAAATACTTGACTCTAAGTATATTTTAGAATATATAAATAGCTCAATTTCTGCTGAAGGGGAATATACCTGGAGCTTTATTGTGTTGGCAGGATAGTCATGGATTAAAATGGAGCTGTTCAGTGTTGATGATATGAAGTATTTCAAGAAGAGAGAGCCCAGAGTTCTGCAGAGCATATTTAAGTTAAGTCAATTTAAAGCTCATGAAAGCAGTTAGTTTGGTAGACTGAAATCCACTATAAACACAGAAAACCACCAAAACAGTTCAAATGTGGTCTGGGTACATGATTCCTTAGAGCAGCGATTCTCAACCAGGGTGCCATGGCACCCTGGGGTACCTTGAAATCATATCAAGAGTGCTGCAGGGTGCTATAAAATGGTAGCACTGTTAGGTGTATAATCATGATTCGCAAGATATAAACCCAGAGATTTGAAAAAAAAATGCAGTGTTTAAAAACATTCTGACGTATTTCTGAGTTTATTGAAACAAAAGAATTGCTCTATTATTTTTTCTGTAGTCAAAAAATGAGTAAAACCAAGAGCTGGCATTTTCCAAGGGGTGTCCTGAGCTTAGCGAGGGGAGCCTTCAGTCTAAAAAGGTTGAGAATCACTGCCGTAGAGTACAAAGGGAATTGTGGAGCTATTTGTGAAATACTGTAGTTGTCACTTGTGATGCGACTGCCTGGCCACTAGATGGAGTCTTCCAGGATGTGTTTGTGTCTGAACACAAGGTCCCAACCACAAATGTTCAAAAATCATGAGTAGCTTTTTTTAAAAGAAAAAAACACCTTGTTCCTTTGTCTTCTAGTTTTTGAATCTCTAGGCCACATGTGGGTTGTGTTTTTCAGCTTCAGTCTATAACAGGGGGGCTAGAAACTTTTTTTTTTTTTTTTTAAATCAAAGCTGAGATATTCATAATTCCAGGACTTGGAATTTTAACAAAGAAGAACACTAATTATTGCAAGACTCTTGCTAAAACTGTGAGTGGGAAACTCGAGTCACTGAGCGTGCTTTCCATGAACACCCTGTGAACTGTGTTGATTTGTATTAAGTCTGTGATTGTTCTTACTGTGTTGTATAAAATGTGAAGGCCTGTCTGTGGTCTTGGGTCCCTGAGTTAATTACTTGAGCACTTGTCATTCTTGTGAATGGCTGACTCTGATTAAATTATGACCAGTACTGATAATATGCAGGAATCCAAACGTGTGACTGATTTTACATTGTTTCCTTACTGTTTGCCCTTTCAGCTTTCCTTGCAAGACTGGAAAGAATGGGAGCTTGAAAGACTAGAAATTTAAGGTGGAATGAAATACAAACAGTACAAAACAGGCTTCCTGCACGTAGACTTCAATGAGGACATGCAGTTTGTTGTTAACATTTAGATAGCCGGTGGACTGGGGAAATGGCAGCTAGAAGGGATTTATCTTCTTTTTAGCTGGACAAAAATACAAAGCTAATCAACCTAGCATCCTATGAAAGATACACAGTGAAATAATTATTGGAAAAACAAATTGGTTTACATTAGCTTCCTGATTTATTTTTTGATTGACAAAATTATAAAAACTGGTCTAAACTGGAGTCGGTTTACTAATACAGTTCACTGGCATAGCTAAACTCTTAAGCCCTCCTAGAGTAGATGTAATTTATGCTGGCAAAAGTGCTTTTGCAGGTATAACTTATGCAGGTTACCAGAGCAAAACAAACTACACCTGCAAAAAAACATATTTACACCACTATAACTGTCTACAGAAGGGCATTGGCAGGTAAAGAAATGAAAGAAAAACCATGCTTCTCTAACTGGTGTTACTGCAATTGTACATGTATCTAAAGTAGGCCCCCAGCCGAATCCATGGGCTTTGTAATACTTTGTTCACATGGATCTGATTGCAGGACTGCGGCAGACATCCTTCACCTCCTCATCCCCCACACTGCTTTACTGTGTGCATACAGAAGCTGTGTTTAAACTGGACCTTTAGGTTGCAAAAAAAACCTTTTTCCCTTTTCTGGCACATGAACCATTCTCCTTTATTTTTGTATAAAAATAACCATCAAACAGGTTCCTTAACTATTGCCTTTAATCTAGCAGGAAATAGCTAGAACTAAAAGGCTGCTAATTGCATGAAAACCAATGTAGACAACAACTGATGATTGATTTGCTGGGTTGTTTGTTAGGGTTTTTTTATAACATGCTAAATTTATTGTTTGTATTACTATGGTGCCCATGAAGCTTGGTTGTAAACCAGAACTTTCTTGTGCTGGGCACTGGACAAACGGGGCACGAACATACTCCTTGCTTCAAAGAATTTAAGAAGCAAGAGACAGACACGGTTGATGCTCATGTAGGGGTCTATAAAAAGAAAGGGTGGCAATTATTGCATCGGTGTAATCGTGTGGTTGGTCCTATCTTGGGTCACAGACTTGTGTCTCCTTACGGAAGAGGTGGAAATAGAAACATTTTTTTTAAAGCTACTTGGATCACTGGGGAATCTGGACGCCTTAAACAACACGATCAACTGTTAAAGTTATATGCAGAGGAACCAGGAACGCTACCTACAGGAGGAGAAACCGCATCGCGAAAGCGAGGACGAGCAACTTGGCACGAGCTGTCAGTGCAAGGCAATGGCAGACGGGCTGGCTGGCTGCACGCGCAGGGCTGGTGAGCGCGTGTGCAGGGCGCGGGCGAGCCCGGTACCCGAGCACGTCCAGCCCCGGGAGGCTGAACGATTCATACACAATACACTGCTCTTAGCCCTCCATTGGCTTCGGTTATGTACAAGGCCAGTGACGACGAGGGAGTCGATGGCAACATCGCCAGCCGGGCGCTCTCCACTCCCGCAGACAAGAGAAGGGCAAGGGCCAGGCCCAGCCAGAGCAAGAGGCCGAGGTCAGCGCGGGGACGATGGCAGGCCAGGGTCTTCGGGTGAAAAATCGTCTATTAGACCAGTGTCAATAGTCGGAAACGTTTTTCTTAGCAAGCTGTAGGGTTGAGAAAACCCCTTCGTCTGGCTGAGGTCGGGGTGGGTGTGTTGGTCCTGGAGGGGACGGAGAGGTCCGGGGGTGACACCCCGCCCCCCGCAGCTGCTCCAGGCCTGGGTAGAGGCAGCTCTTTAAAAGCCCCCCACCCCGCTCCTCGGGCCCCGGGCCGCAGCGACACCACGACCCCGGGGGAGGGGCCGCCCGGCCTCCATTTTAAACACCGAGCGGAAGCCTCCATCTCCCGCTGCGCCCTTAGTAAAGATGGCGCTGACGGCACGGCGCCTGCCCTTCATTGGGTTTTTTTTCCCTCCCACCCCCGCTGCACATGGCGGCGAGCGCGCTTCCGGCGCGGCCCACTTCCGGTTGTGGGAGGCCCTCAGGAAACATGGCGGGCGGAAGCGGAAGTGATGTCTGCCTTGTCCAGGCCGGCTGAGGGGAAGCGGCGGTGACGGGGTGCGCGCGGCGGTTGCTGGGTGACGGGTGAGCTCGGTCGGGGGGAAGGGCCGCGCCAGGCACCGGGCTCGTGGTCGGGGCCTTCCCGTGGGCGGGCTCGGGGGAGCCCTGTCAGGGCCGGACACCCCGGGGCGCCCCTGTTTCCTCCCTGCCTAGTCCAGGGCAGCCCAGGCCCGGTGCGGGGCACACGATAAAAACCTCCCGTGAAAGTTTCCCCGGTTCTTTTTTTTTCCCCTCCCCTTTCCCCCCCCCCTCGGTATTTGGGCCAGAAAGCACATCGCGCTCCTCAGGGCAGCCCGAGCAGGAGCAGGGCCGATGCCGTACAGCGAAAACCTCCCAGATTTTGTTGACCGTCGGCATGAGCAGCGTTTCAGCCTCTCGTTTATATACTTCTCCTCGCAGCTCCATCATGGCAGAAACCGCGGCCTCCCCGCTGAAGCACTTTGTGCTGGCCAAAAAGGCGATTGCTGCAATCTTTGACCAGCTGTTGGACTACGTCACCGCAGGAGCGAGTTTTGTGGAAGGTAATCGTTGTGCATTGGACAGAGCCCCCCTGCCTTTTTTTGGCGTCCTTGGGTATCGCCTCACAGCGTTGTGTCCGCCGGTTTATAAAGAGCAACCGCACGTTCGTCGGCATGGTTGGGAGCGTGTTGCGGAGGGAGGCGGCGTGATGCGACTCTGGAGCGCTAGATTCAGCTGGGTTTTATTTTCTCCTCTGTTTGACCTTTGGCAAATTGCTTGTTTACAGATTCGCAGAAGTTTAGGGTTGGGAGGGACATTGTGAGGTCATCGGGTCCAGCCCCCTGCTCCGGGCAAATAACCCCAGCGAAGCGTGCATCCGGGCTCCTTGGATGCGTGATCCTTCACGGGTTATCTGCCGAGCATTCGCAGTGGGCCGCTGCACAAATACGAGCACAAGCTCAATCCTGCTGTGGACGAAAGGCAGGCTCCTATAGAGCAGTTGGCTGACTTTCAGAAATTTTGAGTACTGCTGACTTCTGTTGACTTTCAAGAGACTTGTGTTGCTCAACACTATGGTGTGTCTTCACTGCAGAGTCAGCCGATGCTATTATTTGGCTCCCGTCTGGTCCGCATACAAGAACCTCTGACCTCGGTCATAATAAAACACGAGTGGGGCTTTCTCATAGACTGGTAACCTCCTCGCTCTTAAATGTGGTAAAGGGGAAACTACCTGAGTGTCCATAGATCTGCTTAATTTCCTGCAATTCCCCACGTGCATCCAAAAAGAAAGACTAGGTTTTCCACGGTTGGCATAGAAAGATTCGTAGAGGGCTGAGTACAGCGCTAGGTTAGACCAGTAACGACCTGTTTTGACTCAGAAGTGAAGGCACGTCCTGACAGCAGTGGAGTTTAGGGATGGGGGTTTAACTCTGCTTTCTGAAAGCAACAGGGACCTCTTGTAGGAGCTAAGTGAAACCAATGAACTAGTAAATTAAATATCATATGATAGTAAATTAAATCTTAACATTTTTTAGACGTGGCTAGACAAAGCTTTGTCTGGGATGATCTAGTTGGGGCTGGTCCTGCTTTGAGCAGGTTGCTGGACTAGATGTGACCTCCGGAGGTCCCTTCCCACCCCCATTTTCTATGATACTGTGGTGTTAATTGTGTGTTCCAGATCCTAAAGTCTTGATGTTCTAGGTAAGTCATAGCAGGTATAACAATGCTCTAGATCAGTGGTGGCCAATATTTTGGCAAGCATGCCACAAAGTAGCCCCACAGCCTTCCTCTTTGCTACTCTGATCCTCTTCCTCTGCCCAATCTGCTGCTCTGCCTTCTGCTCTCTTTGCTTGCCTGGTCTCCTCTGATTTCTGCCCTGTTTTCTGCTTGCAACCCTATCTGCCGGTGTGTTGCCTATCCCCTCTTTGATTTGCCACATGACACACAGACAGGCTTGCCACTTGTGGCATTCGTGCCACAGGTTTGTCCACCCCTGTTCTAGATGCATCTACAAAATCAGTTTCAAGGTTTTTAGCAGTGCCTGCCTGGACCTGTCAAATAAGTGGCTGATATCAGAAGCAATTTATGCGTCTTACAAATACTTTATTAAAGGATTGGAGAGCCTTGGAGTGTAAATTATTCACATGACTCCTTTTATAGACACATTTTTCTTTTTTGAATAGCGACATACAGGAACCCAGAACTCAAACATGTGGCAACTGAAGATGAACTAGAAAAAATACAGGCATATAAAAGCAAATTGGCGGTCATTGGTGAGGTGCTTTCACGGAGACACATGAAAGTGGCATTTTTTGGCAGGTAATTATTTCATTTAACAAAATTAATTTCGTTTTTTCTTTTTGGACTTGGCATCCAGCTCCAGTTTACTTATCCTGGGATTTTGTGTAATGTCACACGTTGATTTCTTCACAGCATAATGTCAAGATATGTTCATTCTTGCCTGTTTGCTGCTATCGTGGTCTGTAATATAAGCTTATTTGTCTACATTAGGTCACGCTTTCTCCAAAGGCAAAATTCAGTGAGATGATTTGTTAGTGCTGCAAATCTTTGAGAAGGGCATTTCCTTAGTCAAGCAGTAGATCTGCTCAAGAACATCTTTGAAATTGCCAGCATCTTCTTACTTTTTAGACTCCTTGTTTGTTTTTAAGGACTTGGTTTGTGTTAAACAAATATGGCCTTGAAAAATAAATGTTTGGTTGTTGAATGTTTTCACACACAATCAATGGGGATAAAAAAAAAAGGGACATGGGTTTAGTTTTTTTTACAGAAGTGTTGAAGGAGTTAAAAAGTAGTTGATATCAACTTAGTAATGATTGCTTTTTATTGTAACACTAAACTAGTACTTGACCTACACACATACAGATAAAATTACCAACCTACGTATTTCCCACCTTCCTACATTTCAGTAGAAAAAGTGCTAGTTATAATTTTTATTGTTGTCTCCTAGAACTAAGTGCTATAATTTCTTGCCTACATAGTCAATGTTTTCAAAATATGGTGAAAAATGCTGTCTGAATATTCTTGATACACATTTTCTGTCCTGAAAATTGGATTTTCACGGTGTTGGAAAATGCTTCATTTATGCTTCATCAGGGTGGTCTTCTGAACTTCACTTTTTGGATACTTTACATCCTTACATACATTTACACACTTTACATACATACAGCCAAAAACCTAATAGAATTATTTTGAAGCTTTTTGTAAACTTTGAAGGGAAGGTTTCATTTGAATTTAAACATTTTTCCTGAATGTGTGCAGACCAAATGTTAGAGCATAATGGCAGTGCAAAAGTACTAGAAACTAATTGAGCAGAAATACACTTGGAGCTTTTAAGTCAATTTGTGCTCAGTATGCAAAGTGAAATATAAAACAGTAAAATCCTCTTTAAATGGTGAAGGACAAACTAAGGTTCTGATCTTTACAAACACTTGTGTATATGCGTAGCTTTGTGCCTTTTAAGAAATCCTGTTGAAATCTACAGGAGTACTGTGCTTGGTTAAGCATGCGGAGATGACCCCTTTCCTGGAATCTGGGTAGAAACTTAAAATAATTTCATACATTAAAGAAATGCTTAATTAGATAGTCCTTCCTGTTTTTGCCAAGATACCTTGGTAACTGGAAAGAAATGCATAAAACAAACAGCTCTTTTTTTTTTTTTGTCTACTGGTATTTTAGGTCCTGAAATTTCATTGCACAAAAAGTTTTTTAAAGTATTAAGATATGCTCCCAGATAAAGACACAGTTGCAAAGGGTTAGAGCTAGTTAAACTTTAACCCAGTGGTGCATTTAAAACAAGCCTAATGTTTTCAGAATTTATTCAGCTCCACAAGTGACTGCACATGGAGTATTAAAATAGCTCTTTTAGATTATACAGTTCTAAAAATATAACTGTTTAGTATATGAGTTCACTTTATACTAGATTCCTTCTGTTACAAAAAAGCTAGGCCTCAGATCCTTGTGTGAAAAGTGAAAGGCTGGTACAGTAGGACATAACTTGGAATGAACTTTGAATCTCTTTAGTGCATTGAGTTAATAAACACCTCTGTTAGCCAAGTGAACCAAAAATGTCTGCATCGTTGAGCTTTTTCATCCAAAATTAAATTAGAGCTAAATACTGCAATGTAAAATAAAGGGTTTCATATCGCAGTGAATTGGAATCAGTGCAAGAGAAATGCATTTTATGTTCTTTTTTAAAAAAAAGTTTGCTTGTTTTATTGTGGAAATCTTTGAGTTGAAAAAGGTATCTGACATGTGAGTTGTCTTATTTGATTGTGAGGTTTTGTTTTGTTTTTTAAATGGAAATTTCATTTTTGAAAAGGAGTCAAACATTAACACATTGCTGATTTATATTAGGGTAGTGCCCACATACCTCTCAAAATTGGTTGGGCCTCCATTATGATAAGCACAGAACAAACAAAGGTAAAGATAGTCTCTGTCTTAAAGACGGTACTGTCTTAGGCTACCTCTGCACAAAAATGTGACTGATGGAGCAATATGGGTTAGGAATGTGATTTTTTTTTTCCACCTTTTGTTGGGGAGAAGGTTGAAAAGCATACTAGCAAGAAATGCTTTTTGCACTGGTAGTCTGTGCCTGTCCTAGGAGGGCTGGTTGGTATAGCTGTACCAACTTTTTTTCCAAGAGTACACCTGGTTGTATGGCACATTCCTGCAAGCTGGCCTTTGTGGGAACAAGGGTAAGCCATGCAGAACAATTACATAAAATCCAGGTCTGCTTAGGTTATGTAGGGCAAGTAGTCTCAAGCAAAGGTATGCTATGATTTGTTAAGCCCACTTTAAATGCTTTTATGTTATTTCCTTCTAGAACAAGCAGTGGAAAGAGTTCGGTCATTAATGCAATGTTGTGGGATAAGGTACTTCCTAGTGGGATTGGACACACAACTAACTGCTTTCTCAGTGTAGAAGGGACAGATGGTGATAAAGCTTATCTCATGACAGAAGGATCAGATGAGAAGAAGAGTGTCAAGGTAGATTTTTTTTTTCTGTGGTTAAGAAGCTGGTGCTGGGAAAAAGTAATATTATAAGGTCCATTTCTATTAGGTACAATATTTCATGCACTTCTTAAGTTTTAATGTGAAATATAAACCTATCTTTCTTGTAAAATAGTTCCTCTGGTACGGAATAATTAAATAAAAGTAAAACAAAGCCCACAGCATTTTCCTAGGTTTCTCCTATGCTTATGCTATACATAGAGTGTACATGTACACTATGATTTGTTTGTGTAGTCACATAACTTTTGGTCCTTCTTTTTAATGCTCTAAAGCCAGATACAGATATTACGGGTGTTTATGCACATGCTCTGGGAGTAGGGGGTTGGGGAGCACTTTAACTAGAGCAGCTCTGCTGCTCTAATTAAAGCACCGGGAGCATTGTGTATCAGCTTCCCCATGCTGAAACACGGCCGTGGGGGCACTAACTAAAGCTCGTTGAACGAGCTTTAAAGCACCTCACCGTCATTTCCAGTGTGTGGAAGCTATACACATGATGCTGGAGTCTGCTGGAATGCAGTAATTACCATGCTCCAGCAGACTCATCAAGTTGTCTCCAACACACTATAATTACAGGGTGCCAGAGCAGCCTTGCTGCATGTCCTGGTATAAGTGATCGGAAACTAGTTTATACCTGTAACAGGACAGAAGTACAACACACACAACCGATCTTTACCCTTACCTTAATGATCTATACAACAGAAGTTTGGCATACATAGACTGGTTTAAAAATGGAAGAACCTGGTCTAAGATTTACCCCTCCCCTCCATCAAAGGGCAAATGTGTTCTGTTCGCTACTGATCTAAATTACGCTGCTTACAGAAAACTGAGTCACTTAAATTCTGCCTCAGGCTTTTTGAATATCTGTACCTACCCTAGAAGGCTAACTTTCTTGCAAAAACTTACAGTTGGAGGAATATGCCTCTGTCTACCTAAATTTACTTAGCTTATTTAAACGCTTATTTTACTCCTTTTAAAGCAAGTGCAGTACTACACTCATTTGTAACCTTGAATTAGGAATACCTCTGTTTGGCTCCAAAGAGCCAGTCAACCTTGTCCTTTTTTCCAAGGATAGAAAAATGACTATTCTTCAAAGGTGAGGGACTATGGAAAAATTTGGGTGGAAAAGGCATTTTAAGAAATTCACAGTTTTTAAGTTGTAAGTTCAAATCTTGTACTGGTGTCCTATTTGAGAACTGTGTAAGGCTAGTAAGAGAGTCTTACTTCTTCAAAAATTCTGATTTCTGTGTGGTGAGGGTTTTGTGTTAAGCTGTCATGTATACATACAAGGTGTTTTTTTTCTGATTCTTTGCAGACTGTTAATCAGCTTGCCCATGCACTTCATATGGATAAAGACTTGGAAGCTGGCTGCTTGGTGCATGTCTTTTGGCCCAAGTCAAAGTGTGCCCTCCTGAGAGATGACTTGGTTTTGGTGGACAGGTATAACTATTGCTTTATTAAACCAGTTATCTGAGTTTTCCACATTAACAGTTCCATACTAGTCAGGTAACTGAAATCCGATTTAAATGCTGTAATGCTTTCTTTTTATTTTTTGTCTTTGGTGGGTTGCAAAATTGTTTAAGAGTGTCTTTGTGCTTGAACTCTGTTCTATTATAGATGCTTTCCGTCTGTCATCATCACCATGCTACTATGCATATTTTGGCATGGTTACAGTTGGAACAGCTGTGAATCCCGTGACTCAGTTCAGAATGGGTCCAGCATTCAACTGAGTTAAACTTCTACTTTAATAGTATGAAAATATACTTAAGGTCCTACTAACACCTGTAACACTTTCTCTTCCCCATTAACCTCTCATTCTATGAACCCCTTCATTCTGACCACTTCAAATGTAGCCTTTTGGGGCTCATGATGCAAAGGTCTTTTTGGTAAAGACTTCAATGCCATTAGTACAGTGCTCTAGAAGCATCTAAAGCGCCAAAACTTTATCAAGTCCTTGCTTGTGCTGTGTTTATATCAAATGCACTTTTTATGGAGTTACAGACGCACAAAAATTGATAGAATCAGAGAAATTGTGGAATGTTTCTTCAAACTTATCAAATACATAAAAATATTCCAGCTGTGCTTTAGTGTTAGCCACTGGTTTTTTACATCAGCTCTTAAGTGGCTCATAGAAACTAAAGCCTGCTTTGTTCTTACAAGTGATTTTATAAATACAACCTTCTTACTTGGCAAAACAGGCACGTTTATAGTGTAGGTTGCTCACTGCCATGATATAAATAGTACTTGTACTCATGCGTCTGATCCTACACCCTTGAAATCAGTGGGAGCAAATCCCTGTCTTCACTAGGTAAACAGTACAGAGCAGCTCAGTTGACAGAGTAATCTGGCTTCTGTCTTTCTTATACATATCATCAACAAACATTGCATTTAGTTGTACAATGATACTTGTCCATAGTGACACCTAGGCAACTCACTGAACAATTGTATGATGGCCTCGAGGACATCATTGAAGACACTAGGATTGCACAGGTATAATTTGGGTCATGACTTGACCTTTGGATTCTAGTTTGTCAACTTCTCTAATCTGTTGTGGGAGTGGAGACTGAGGAAAATCATTTCTTTCCTGGTAAAGTGAGCACATTTGAAGTGGAAATGATTGAGACATAATAAGATTGAGACGGCACAGGGAACACAATGGTGGGAGTCTATTACAGACCTTCCACCCAAAGTCCTGAGCTTGACCAGGAGTTTGCCCAGGAACTGGCTGAGGCAGCTTGCTCCAGGACCATGGTTGTCATGGGTGACTTCAATTACCCAGACATCTCATGGGAGGATCGCTCAGCAAAATCTGAGCGGTCGCAGAGCTTCCTCTCGTGCGTGGATGACCTCTACCTGACTCAAGAAGTCTATGGGCCAACGAGAGGCAAAGCACTGCTCGACCTGGTACTGGCTACTGGGGATGACCTAGTCGGCGACCTAGTGATCGATGGGAAGCTGGGTGACAGCGACCACGAGCTGATCACCTTCACCATCCGCCGAAAAGCTGGCAAGTCGGTCAGCAACACGCAAGTCTTTGACTTCAGGAAAGCCGACTTTGACAAGCTCAGGAGGCTTGTCAGTGAGGCCCTAAGGGACCGTGACCACAGGGAGAGGGGAGTTCAAGAGGAGTGGTTGCTCCTCAAGGGAGCGATCCTCAATGCACAAACTAAGTCTATTCCATCTCGGAGGAAAGGCAGCAAGAGGGCACAGCAGCCCCCCTGGCTCTCCAGGGACCTAGCAGATCTCCTGAGGCTAAAAAGAAAGGCCTACAAAGGGTGGAGGATGGGAGTCACCTCCAAGGAGGATTATTCTGCACTGGTCCGGTCCTGTAGGGAGCAGACCAGGAAAGCCAAGGCTGCAACTGAACTCCAGCTAGCTTTGAGCATCAAGGACAATAAGAAGTCCTTTTTCAGATATGTGGGGAGCCGGAGGAAAAGCAGAGGCAACATTGGACCCCTGCTGAGCCAGATGGGGCAACTGACAACTGACGC